ACACCCTCTGCCTCTGCTGCTTTTTACACTGCTGCACACTACCCATGGGAGATGATCTATATCATCCCCACGTAGAGAGGACGAAAACAAAGCTCAGTGAGCGTAAGCATGCTCTGACACAAAATCAAACAGCTTTTGTGAGTGGTGGACTTGGAACTCAAACCCAGGTCTAACTCCAAAGTTCTTTCTGTATCCATGATACCAAGTGAATAATACTATAAAGTAATACATGTAATCACTTTAGGTGTTTAAAGTGCTCTCATATTAATGACTTCATCTGATATTTACATCAAACCCGTGAGATAGACAGACAGGCATCATTGTCTGTATTCCTAGGTGAGGGGCTGCAAGGGAGCATTGTGTCCCATGGTAACAAGTTAAGTGGCACTAGCAGAGATTGCATCTGCATTTCCTGACTCCTAATACAGGTTTATATCCACTGTGTCACCGCATGTTGTGCCATTGTTGGTACCCTAGAAATAATAGAAATATGCAGCATTTATCTTTCCATCTACCGGCCTGCTCCCTCCCCTGATGGTATTTTTTTCCTGTTAGAAATTCATTGTTCTTCAAAAGAATTCATTCAAATAGATGTACCAGAGCAGAGAGGTTCAGAACATGAGTTTCAGAGCATGACAGACCTGGGGTTAAATCCATGGTCCATCAAATACTGACCATGTGAATTTGGACAACTTAGTAACCTTCTGTAAGCTTGTCTTCTCTTTCATAAAATGGGGTTAATCATATTTACCTCCTAGGGCTAATTGTTTGGATAAAGAGGATATCTAAAACCTAGTAGAGTGCTGACATGCAGTAAATGACTATACATTAAATTTCCTATTCAGAATATTCTTTTATATGAATATTCCCAATATTAGTAAGATTAAATGAATGATATTTTATTTCCTAGTCCTCTGTTTTGTTTCCCTATTCATTCTGATTGAAAGAGTCTTGTTATTGGTGATGTCAGAAGAAGAAAGGCCCTATTAATATTTTCAGAACATGGAATTTTGAATTAATATTAACTGGAAGAGTCCTTTGACAATTGTAAGCTATTCCAAAGTCATATAAAGAATAACAATGGACCTCTCTGTGCAGCATTTTTATGAAGCCACATTTTTATTATAACCGTATTTTGAATAAGGACATCTATTATTTTAACTACACAAGGCATGCTGCAGTATGATTTGTAATAGTCTTTCTTAGCCTCACCTATGCAGAATTCATTACAAATGAATTTTGAAATGTTCATTTCAATAAGCCATGAAAAAATAAACTTGCACCATGGTGTCATTTGAAAAATATTAGAAACAATGAGCTCTTTGTATATTTATCAGTACTCATATATTTACCCTGGCACAAGAAAATTCCTAAGTTTTCAAAGAGAGAAGCAAGTAGCTGGCCTTTGTAACTGACTAGATTAATGCACTTGTAAGTGCTCAATCCTAGTTTACTGCCAGCTTCCCCATGCTGGGGTCTCTGAAGGGCTAATAAACAGCTTACTGCTTAGTAATTCAGATTCCAAACAAATTGACAAGTAAGGAAAAGAGTGGTCAGGAGACCTAAATGTTCCCATTTTTAGAGATCAAGGTGGCTAGAGATAATAGGTTAGTGTGGTCGACTTACCTCCCCAATCATGGCAGCCCTGGGATGGGATGGGCCTGCCCACATGAAAGCAGAAAGGAGAGAGCCCAAGTAAGACTTCTGTCATAGAGAAACAGAGGAGAACCTCTGCTACCGGCCAGAAGCTTGGTCCCAAAAGGAAGAAAGGAAATAGATGAGTCAAACGGGCCCAGTTTCTTCTTCCTAAATTTTTCAATCAGAAAAATCATTTATTTCCCCTGGGTCCTGAAGTGGTAGGGGATGAAGGGTAAATAGTCACCAGTTTGCAGTTATAACCATGTGGCTCCAGAAACTCACAAACAGTGGTTAAATTTTATCTTACAAATTGGGAAATTGAACAAACAAAATTCATAAGCAAAATTATCTTCAGTCAATGTCAATGGGCTACTGTGCTACAGATGATGGAGTCATTGGCAGCTTAAGGACACAATACAGTGAGAAGAAATGAGGACTGAAAAGTAATGTGTATTGAGTATTCTACTGCCGGTCGTCTGTTTCTTTACTTATGAATCTTATCTCAGTGGATGGCGTTACCCAGATGCCCAAGTCAGAAATCACAGTGTTGCCTTTTCAACACTGCTTCTTTTCCTCACCCTTATGAAATCCATTTCTAGTCTCATCAGTTCTGAAGCCTACTGTCTCTCAGCCTTCAAATGTACTTCCCTGCCTTGGGTTCCATCATTTTTTTTAGTTTTTGAGACAGAGTCTTGCTGTGTTGCCCAGGCTGGAGTGCAGTGGCTCAATCTCTGCTCACTGCAACCTCCATCTCCTGGGCTCAGGCAATTCTTGTGCTGTAGGTTCCCGAGTAGCTAGGACTACAGGTACACACCACCATACCCAGCTAGTTGTTTGTATTTTGGTAGAGATGGGGTTTTGCTATGTTGGCCAGGCTGGTCTCAAACTCCTGACCTCAAGTGATCCACCTGGTTGGGCCTCCCAGAGTGCTAGGATTACAGGCATAAGCCATCATGCCCAGCCCTAACATTTTATAAGTGAGGAAACGGAAGCAATGTGACTATGGGCAAAGTATTAAACTCTCAAATGAGGAAGGACAAGGAGGAACAGAGCCTGGATTTGATCTCATGTCTACCAGACTTTAAATCCAAGCCCAGAACCTCTATTCTGTGTCCTTTATTAATATCTCCCCACAGCACCACTACTACCATTGCATTATCCTTTGAACTGATGTGCTCTAATGATCTATATAACCAATTTTAGAAGCTAGCTTCTTTTTTAAAAAGATAAAAAAGAAAAAGGCTCAAACTGGTACAGATGTTTTCCCAGACCACAGATCTGTTTAAGAGTAGAGTCAAAATCAGACCTCAGATTTCCTCTTCTCGACTGCTAATTCTGGTTCTTAAACCATGGAATAGATAAATGAGTAATTGGGAAAGTTAGCAATTTAAGAGTTAAATTAGTTAAGGGTTTGAAAATACGCTTGGATCATAATGATGCCAACCACCCATTTGTAAAGAATGAGCAGTTTTAACTAGAATTGGGATAGTTTACAGTTGGAAAAGATGCTATAAATCATTAAAATAGGATCCCCTCATTTTACAGGTAATAAAACCAAGGCCCAGAAAGAGAATGTATGATGGGAAGTCCAAACAGCCAAACTCAAACTAAATCCCAGGACTCCTAGTTTCCAATCCAGGTTTCGTTTTACAGCATCTTCCCATTTAGTGCGTATACGGAAATAAGGCAGTAAGTCTAAAGCAAAACAATACCAGCAGCAGTAAGACAACAAAACCCCATTTAGCATGCCTGTTTACATGCAAGTGTTTATTCAAATGTGCTCTAACTCTGACAGTGATTTAAAAATGTCTAAGCTTATGGAAAAGTAAAATCAAGAAGGAAATTGAAGACAAATCAGATGCTTTCTCGTACACTCTTTTAAACTCAGAGAATTACAGTCTTCTATAGGTAGAAAACTTAGGCAATAGTTTTTTAGCATTAAAAAAAATCAGAAATAAGGAAGACAGACCAGGTGCCGAAGGGCAGGGTTTAAATGAGTTTACCCACTAACGTTCACTTTACTAATTTTCCTAAATGAGCTTTTTCCTCTACAGAGTCTAAACAGAGTGTCTGGGTCTGTTTTTCCCATGTGTACATAGCCAAGTTGCCATTTTCTGGCAAACAACCTTTGGACAGGAAAGGCCTCTCCTTGAAGGTCTATAACCTGCACAAACACAGCATCATCCGGTGCAGGAGGCTGAGTCTACAATCCTAACACAGTCAAGTGGACATGCAAACACTCTTTCCATCCATGTAGGACTGTTTGAATGAGTCATGGAAAATTAGAGTGTCAAATGTGTTTCCCATCTGATTTAAAGCCTGTGATAGTTTTGTAGGCCCATTCCTAGGCATAAAAATCAAGGGCCCAACTGCCAGAGAGAATAGAAGGCTGATATACCAGTAAGTCTTCTATGTACCAGGATAGGCTTTAAACCATACCCCCACACATAAAAGCTAAATTTACCTGGGTTGTGATGATAAGGGAACACATTAAAGAAAAGAAAGTAATCACCTAATATTAGTTTTGTTTGTTTGTTTGTTTGTGAATCTTGCAACAGTATCAGACCAAACTTGCGTTGGAAAGGCTTTAGCTGGCTATTATTTTCATCAGACTCCTCAAGGCCATCTCAAACTATAATGACAAGAAGAAAAAGAAAAAATGGTCAAACTATATGTTGAGATTCCTAAGTCCTTTGGTATCATTGCTTCATTTATAAAAAGAAGCTATACAAATATTTATAATCTATAATTGTATACCATGACCAACTGGAGGAGGGATAAAGAAATTCTAGATTGCATTTCCATAAAACCCTGCTAAGTGTCTCATTCAAGTAAACCAAGTCTATGTTTTCATTAATTATCTCTTTTTTTTTTTTTTTTTTTTTGAGACGGAGTCTCGCTCTGCCACCCAGGCTGGAGTGCAGTGGCCTGATCTCAGCTCACTGCAAGCTCCGCCTCCTGGGTTCACGCCATTCTCCTGCCTCAGCCTCCCAAGTAGCTGGGACTACAGGCGCCCGCCACCGCGCCCGGCTAGTTTTTTGTATTTTTTAGTAGAGACGAGGTTTCACTGTGTTAGCCAGGATGGTCTCGATCTCCTGACCTTGTGATCCGCCCATCTCGGCCTCCCAAAGTGCTGGGATTACAGGCTTGAGCCACCGCGCCCGGCCTATTATCTCTTATTTTTATTTAGTTTTTTGGTGATCAACCCCATTCAGCTGATCATATAATTCATACAAATGGAGCTTTAAGATGGCTCCCTTCCTGCCTCTCTCTAATCAGATTGTCCTTCTTCATTCCTTCCTGAATAGAAATTCTAAGCACCCCGACCCTCATATAAACTTGTGTGCCTGTCCTTCCTACAGATCCTCCCACTATCACAGAATCCAAGAGCAATGAAGCCACCACAGGACGACAAGCTTCACTCAAATGTGAGGCCTCGGCAGTGCCTGCACCTGACTTTGAGTGGTACCGGGATGACACTAGGTATGTGCCAAACCTACCATCCCCCGTGACTCCACTGCATGGGCCTGGGGACACCGGAAGCCCCACAACAAAGCCAAAGCCAAGCCAGTTGTAATTGTGTAGAACTATATTCTCACACTCTTCCTTTTTAATATCTCTTACCAAATTCTTTGGGGCCTGTAGCTCTTAAGCTGAAGCCCAAAAGCAGTCAGGTAAAATATAAAAACAGTTCAACGGGTAGCTTTCACCTACATGTCTTTCTTGCCTATAACAGAAACTCAAACCCATTCCCTAGTTTTCTCTGTTGATGGACGTTGATTCTGATAATATGGCATTGCACAATTAAAATAGGAATTGGGCATGGAACCACAAATCCTAGCTACTTCCTTTCTCTCCTTTTCCTGCAGTGTCAGGATGTTGAAAGAATTCCTAAGCTAAAACCTTCACCAGTGTTCCTTTCTATTCTTCTGTTTTTGAACTCTTAGGATAAATAGTGCCAATGGTCTTGAGATTAAGAGCACGGAGGGCCAGTCTTCCCTGACGGTGACCAATGTCACTGAGGAGCACTATGGCAACTACACCTGCGTGGCTGCCAACAAGCTGGGGGTCACCAATGCCAGCCTAGTCCTTTTCAGTAAGTATGCCAAAGCAGGGCCCAACTTGGTGGAATTAAATTGACTTTTCACATGAAAAACGTGAAAACCATTCCCTTATCTATTAAAGGTTCCCTTAAACACAAATAAGGATCTATGCACTGAAACAAAAATGCAAGGTTCTCAGTCCCTGTGCATAGGAGAGATTTACAAATGGAGCAACTTCTCTCTATAGTCTTTCTTACTTCTGATAACGGCCTTGTTGTTTGTTTTCCTTAGTTTTTATTTTTTTGTTTTGTTTTGTTTTTTCCTGGTTAAGCTGAAATAATATTCAGAGAACACAAGTCTCTTTGGCAGTGGTCCTTTAAGAAGCAGAGGTGATGTAAAAGCCTGGAAATGGATAACTGTGTGTGTGTGTGTGTGTGTGTGTGTGTGTGTGTATGTTCTGAAGGTAGTGATAAGAGTGATTGAGGAAGAAATATTCAGTGAGAATAGATAAGGTGCTGAGAGAAGGGAGAGGCTGGAAAAAGAAAGTACATTTTTAACAACACAAGAGGAAGGGTGGAATAAATGATTCAAACGTAAAATCTAAAGGAGGAAAAATGGTTGCAGAAAGTTTTCTGTATGACAGTAGGAGACATTACTTTTCTGATATATTTTTGGAACAGAGATGGAATGGTAGGAAAGAGGAACATTTCTGAAGACCAGAGAAGACCCTGAAAGTAGACCAAGGAAGGCGCAGTCATTCCAAAGTCACTGATGTTAATAGGAGACCCCACCTTGGAGTCCTGCTCTTTAGCAGCAAGTTAGAGTCAAGTCTCTCACTCCCAGCTTTGCTGGGCAGGTGACTATGAGCACAGAAGACACCCTCTGAGAAACAGAAGGAGGCTAAATGGAGTCACAAGAAAATGATAACGTTTGGAATAGAGACACATTTATCAGAATAAGCAAAACAAATCAAAAAGTTAGCTCATGCTGAATCAGAAAGTTCATTTGGACTAAAGGGAAAAGTCCAAAAAAAGTACTGTTATTATTTTGGAATAACAAACCACTAAGTTGTTTTTTTTTCCTGCACAGATTCTATTGGAAAAACTGGAAATATTATGACCAGAAGAAATCTTTCTATCTTGCTATATTCCATTTAGATGAGCCTTCGAGAAAAAAAAATATTTTTAGGAAAAAATCAATTTAAGTGAGAGTTCTCTTGAAATGTAGTGTTAAAGCCATTTTAAAACTGTTTAAGATCCAACTCCATTTACAAAAGCAACAACCACAAATGACTCTAACTTTGGCCTTTAGTTTCTCATTCATAACTCTCATTGACTTCAGTCTGTGACAGTTTGATGAGATACAGTTATACAAATGCTGCCTCCACACGAAGTTTAAAATTCACAACATGTTTACTTGTCTCCAAAGAGCAAACATCAGTATTCTTTGCCGCAACTAGAGACATCAATATCCCTAAGACATTTGAGAATATCCTTCTTAAGAACTGTAGTTACCTGATTCATTCCTAACATTAAGGATTCCATAAATGGTAGCCGGGGGAAACCAGCCTCAACTGGGAATTTAAGATTTACCAAATCTAAGTTGACCTGGCTAAGTAGAACAACATACACTTAAAAACTTAAAAAGAAGGTTGTTTAGAGATTAGTGAAGAGAAGGTAGAACAACTGGATGAGTTACAGAAAGCGAGCAATTATACATTTGCATTAAAGTATATTTTCTTTCTATTTAACCTAGACTAAGAACTATGCTAATGATATATTTCAAATAATAAATAAAATATCGCCTATAGCCTGAGAGAGAGGAAAGGGAAAGAGGCTGGAAGGATGGAATACTTGAGGGAGGGGGGAAAGTGAGCGTAGACTAGGTCAAAGGCAATGAGATCCTGCTAGAGGTCATGGAAGGTAACATCAAGCCCTACAATACCAATGCCCTTAACCCAGTAAAATTGAGAAATGTCAAAAATCTTACAGAGTTTCTGTTTGTAAGCTGAAAATCAGGGAATAATCAGACAAGTGTATCCTATCACACTGCCCTTTATGATTTAGTAGAAGTCACCCTCCATCATACATTTGAGGATTTTGTGGTGCAGTGATTAATGATGTAGTACTTCCTGGTGGTCCCTCATAGGCACTACCATAGTTGTGTCTTTGGCAGCATGCAGAGGCACCACATACATCAGCATTTGGTTTAGAATGGATGTCCCACTTTTACGGGAAAGTTAGGAGGTATAATCCTTACTGAAAAATAGAATATGAAAGATCATTAGGCTTTGAGGTAAAAAGGAACTATTCGAATTGCAGAATATTGTCAAATCTATTGCACTATTTCTTAGATCCAAGGCCTAAGAACAAACATTTTGGGGGAGAAGCTCTCCTTCTTTTGTAGCAGGACTGGCAGTCCCTCCACCCACCCACCCACCCACCACCAGTTAGTTTTGGGAGGTCCATTGTTACAACCTATATAGTTAGAACCTTATATTTCACAGAGTTCTAAAAGAAAAGAAAGAAAAAGAGAGGGAGGGAGATAAAAGAAAGGAAAGATGGAAGGAAGGAAGGAAACAAGGGAGGGAGGGAGGGAGGGAGGGAGGGAAGGGAAAAAAATAACAGTACATGTGTGGGTCAATTGTCTGCTACTTACATTCAAATAAATGGGATTAATGGGGAAAGGAAGACACTGTGCGAGTGTCAGCAGAGGTAATTTTCCACAGAACAGAGTCAGGAGGGGAGAAATGCTGGGGGGCAGGTGTCTGTGGCCGCAACCCTGATGGAAGCACTGTGTGGGCAGCGGGGTGCTCTGCTGACCAAGCCAGTCCAGAGACTAACAGGCAGCTGGTGAGCCTCTGCCAGCCAGCGGCAGCAGCAGGTAGAGACCCAGACCCAGAACCCCTGAAGAGTTAGCGATTACTAATCTTCATTGGTGTGTCAGCGCATTTTCAGCTGTATCCACCACAGTGATGAGCTGACTTTTCACACAGTGTCAACTTGCGGTCACATGCATACATATACTTCCCCACTCTCTGTTCAAATACTGATCTCCAGAGGGGTCAAAGTCAGGGAATGAGAGTATAAGAATACATTGCATTCATAGTAATTTTTCCCCAAGCTGGTGGAAGCATTCCTTTCTCATTCATCTAGTTCTCCACACATTCTAGCATTGTGTCTGTCAAAGATCCACACTACCTCAGTCGGGATAACCAAGTAATGCCCTGTATATCTTTTTCTTCATCCTTGGGCTAAGCATTACCTTATCTAACGTTTTGAATACATTAATCCAATGGCACAATGTATGGGCAAGGATTCGGCTCCCTAGTCTTTGTCAGACAGGGGGATATGTATGACATGGATGAAAACTTGGACTTCAAGTGATGCCAAGACAAGTTCCATCATCTGCATAAGTAACTCAACAGACTGTGTTTCCAGACTGATAACTAAAATTCACCCACAAAGGTGATAGGTGTATCTTGTTTCATGCTCTTGTTGACTTAGATTTAAAATAACCGACATGAAGGAAGAAAGGGTGATGGGTGATAATTTAAATGTTGTCACTTCTTATTAAGTGAGTGCAATGTACTCTGCAGTATGCACTGTGCTAAATGTTTCACATGCATGATCTGATTTTTAAAAATTATATTTTTGTGTCAGAAACGGGTCTTGCTATGTTGCCCAGGCTGGAGTGCAGTGGCTATTCATAGGCACGATTCCACTGCTGATGAGCATAGGAGTTTTGATCTGCTGCATTTCTGACTTGGGCCAGTTCGACCCTCCTTAAGCAACCTGTTGGTCCCCGACTTCTGGGAGGCCACCTTGTGAAATTTAGTTCAGACACCCAATCAGCATAGCACACTACAGCCCAGAAGTCCTGAGCTAAAGCAATCTTTCCACTTCAGCCTCCTGAGCAGCTAGGACTACAGGCACGCATCACAACAACCCTACTATGTACTTGTGTTTCTCCATTACATAGAAAAGTTAAGTGACCAGTGCAACTAAGTAAGGCTGAACTTGAGATTTAAATTCAGGTAGTCTATTTCGAGAGTCCAGGCCCTAAATCAACACATTATCTGCATTGGTGTATGTGGGCATAAATACTAGGAGATATATCTTGTAAGTTAGGAGGTGAGCAGAATCTATTTGTTTTTCTCCTTTTTTCACTCAATGAGGTCTTTCCACTGTCTTTATACTGCTCCATCCCTTCCCACCCAAGGGCACTGCTTGTGTTGCCTCCCACTTCCGTTTTCATTAACCCCCAGTAGCCTGCTACCACCAGGTTAGTTCGATGATTGGCTTCTCTTTGGCATGTTGACATTCTCAGTGAATATTCCAGCCTAGTAGTCGGCGTTTGGTCTAGGAGGAGAATAAGGAGGAGAATTTTCCCACACATTAAAGAACAATCCCACTGATTGATTACCTTGTGCCTTAGAGAAATGCATGGATTATAAAGGTCTTTTGAGGCTTTTGAGTACAAAAGAATAAAAATACAAAAAAAAAAAAAAAATCTACACTGGGCTTTGCTGCATCCATGTGTGGGAGGTGTTTTTAATTTTCTTTTTAAACTTTAAAATATCATTAAGTTGTAAAGCCGTAGTTGACTACATTTCAAGTACTACCAGAGTAATCTAGCCCTAGAGGGTGTCTTTATAATGAGGGCCTCCCCGTTTTCTTTAAAAAGTATTTTGTTATCGGAAAGACTTGCTGTTTAAACATACAGCATTTGATGATGCCAGTCAAGACTTGGCAAAGCCTAGGCCAAGCACAGTGGCTCAAGCCCGTAATCCCAGCTGAGGCTGAGGGGGGTGGATTTCTTGAGTTCAGGAGTTCGAGACCAGCCTGGGCAACATGGCAAAACCCCATCTCTACCAAAAATACAAAAAATTATCCAGGTATGGTGGCGTGCACCCGTGGTCCCACCTACTCAGGAGGCTGCCTGGGAGGCAGAAGGCAGTGAGCCAAGATCAGGCCACTGCACTCTAACCTGGTTAACAGAGTGAAGATTTGGCAAAGCGTTTTAACCAGCTACTTTAAGATACCACACAATAAAACAGCTTAAGCTGCTATTTACCGACATGTAGTTTGAAACACTAGATGCAAACTCCTTAAATGAGTTCTCTGTGGATACATTTCTCCTCCCCTCGCCCACCCACTTAGCAGGTAAGAAACCAAAGCTCAGAGTTAAGAGACCTTGCTAAGAGCCATATCATATAGTACTAGGGCCAACCTTATAGTTCTGTTCCCACTGTCTCCCAATCAGCTGCTAAGCATGTTATCCTCCTCAAGTAGCAGCAGCCAAAGGAGAAGTGCATAGCACCAAGGGTTCTGCCCACCCTTAGTTTTGAAAATCAAAAGTTGGAAAATTTCTTTTTCCTTATAAAGTGGTATTTACTTCACATTACACTCTTACAGGATCCTGCAAACCCTAGCATGAAGTATAAAACAGCAGCAGAAAAATGCGCAAAGAATAAGAATGAAAACTGGGAAAGAGAAGCATCTAAGGAAAGATACGTGAATAGGATGGAATTAAGAGAATGAGAATAACTAATGGGGCGTGATAAGCCTAAGATGATGATAACAAGGTGGAGCTAACACGGTGATAATAAGCTGAGAAGCAGTTGAAAGGCACTGAAAGGAGGGTGGGTGAGATGGTTTAGCAATATAAATGGTCATGTGGAAATAAGGGCAGAGTGCATTTACCCAGCTGTGAACAGCATGATGAGAAAGTATTAAATGGAGTCATTTAAACAGTCTGAATAATAATAGTAATAATAAAAATAAAATTCAGTAGAAAGAGTATAATATGGGACAGTGGTCTCCAACTGCTACATAAATGCTAAAAGCAGTTTAGCTATTTATTTGCAAAGCTGGAAACTTAATACCAAATAACCAGTGGAGGCTTAAACCATTTTTCTACTTGACACTTGTGTAACTAACATACAATTGTTAGTTGTTGCTGTTGACCTGCTTCATCTCAATGGACTTAGGAAACTTTCATATTTAAGTGACAACTTCAGCCAAGTTAGAGAAAAGCTGACTCTGCAAGGAGACTGAGTTTTCTCAGTGTCCAGATGTATCCAGTGCCCAAAGTCCAGGTAAAATCTACTCTTTTTAAGCATATGGCACAAGATGATAGGCTATCAGATTTGAATATGCACATATGCTTTTCTCATTGTGGTTTTGATTTTTGTTGATTTTCATTTTCCATTAGTCTTTATTTAATCAAGCTGCTAGGAGAAACACAGAAAAGTGTGTGATAATTATGTTACACTATCACATAATTTTGGAGTTAGCAAACAATACATCCTATCCCTAATATTCCATTCTGTATTTCTGAAAGAGCCTCAGAAAAGGATTTAAGCTTAGGTCTTTCATGAGATAAATGAAGGCCACCCTAAATTCTGAACTCTGTCAGTACATTCTATTTATGGTCAGTAGCTTATGTATGGGACTATCAGATACTTTTAAGCTAAGACCTCAGTGTTCAAAAGAAAAGTACTTCTTATTATACTCAACAGGATGTATCACCAAGCAAATTTGATTGGTTGATCAAATTTCAGGTAAGATTGTATTATAAAAAGAGGGGGAATTAAGGAATAGACTAAAAATAAAATTATATCATGCTAAGAAATGTATTACCTTGATATTACTCCTATACTGGTATCAGTAATGTGGAAGTAAAAACCTGAGGGAAATGTTGAGCTAATATTGCCCACAGTAAATTCTTCAAATGCTTGGCTAAAACTGATGTGAACTATAGGGCTTAGAGAGAGGAAAGAAATCTGTAGCTGACACACGTTCATGTCATGAGCTAAAGAGACGAGAACCAAGACCAAGATGTATCACCTGAATTAGATCACGATTATAAACCCACCCTCAACTTCAACTCTCTAAGAGATCTAAAATCTTGATGGTGGGTTTTTTCCAGTAGGATTCTGTATGTAGGATTGCCACAATCTGATGTTGTCCTCCTACACTAGCTAAACTTTTTAAATGCTCTGCATTTTTAATTTTGTTAATAAATTTCTTTGATAGTTTAATGTTAATAGGAAGTACAGAGAAATGTTTTATGAGAGATATGATCCTGTAAGCATGGAAATTAGTCTGTTGTATAATTGTTTGAATAACTAAACATGAGAAAAAATATACATATATAATATTTAAAATCTCCATGATGATTACTATTTTTTCCCCTTTAGAACGTGTTTTACCCACAATCCCCCACCCCATTCAAGGTCAGTATGATTTTTATCACTGTAGCTCTCTTCCTGGGTCATTCTCCATCATCTTTAACATGCAAAACACACAAAGCGGGGAAAACACATAAAATTCACATACAGTGTAAATCATTTTTTCCCTTAAACCTTTTTAGAAAAGCCAATTAGTTGCTTCCAACACCAGTTGAATAGGCATGGAACAAGACTATTACCCGACTCATCTTCAAACTCTGACTCATTTTCAAACGGGCAGTAGCTGTGAAGGCAATGCTAAACTCAGCAAACAATTTTTTCCTACAGTCAATATTTATTACAAGTAACTAGGAACTCACCTATTTGGGACACAGCCAGTTAAATTCTCTAGCCACAAAAATACCGATTCTCTGACTGACTACCCTCATGGTTGAAAGTCTATACAATCCAAATCTGAAGTCATTGGTATTACTTGTAAAAATTAATGTATATGCTGCTAAAGGTTAACCAACTCAACCGGATTATAACAAAGATGTTATCTTTTCTTAAAATCATGGCCAATTCATGGGTTTTTTTCTGTCCTTTTAAATATACCTGTCTTAGAAAACTCAAATGAAAAAACAAGATAATCATTCTGAATTCCTTTTCATAAACTTTCTATGCACTTAAATTAAATTTTGCCTCCTACATCGTATTTAGATGCAAGGTGCAGGCACAACTTTCTAGCTTAAGGCTATTTAAAGGGAAATTGGCAAATAAAATTAAAACAATATAAAAAATCTGAAATGAAACCAACCTACCATTGAAATTAAATTCCAGAAAAGTGATTTGCAAATAGCACTCAAAGACCTGAGAAAAAACAGAAACTAGGCCATGCGGGGCCTAGCGTGGAAAAAATAAATCCAATTAAGCAAGATTATCATACACACTATAAAGGCAATGTGCTCAGAATTAAAGGTAGAAGGCTGCTGTTTTATAAGTTTGAAGATGAATCATGTTTCATTAACATTTGTCCAAACTATAAATTCTTGCAAACTTGTGTGTAGATATTCAGTGTCAATAATGCAATGTTTTGCATGTATATGCATTCACATATGCAAATGTATTTTAATTATTTTTGAACTAAGGATTGCAAGGTTTCAAGGATCAACAAGACAGCTTAATAAGGGTTATTATCAGATTTTTAAAAGAGGACAAACTATTTTTAGTGTGAAAGCTTAGAACTGTTGAATTAAAAAAAAACAAAAAAAAACCAAAAAAACTTCCCTAAAACAATGAAATCTGTTTCTAATCCCAGCCACTAAAAATAAGACTGTTAAAATGTGCCTGTTTTTTAGACTCAACATGATACTTACTGTTAACGGAAAATATCCCATTTTGAATTCCTGACATGCCACAATTATTTTAACACATTTATGTTCTAGTGTTGCTGCAGAGATTGACACCACTTTATCATGTTGCCATCTTGCAAATGTCCTGATATGAAAAACACACACATATGCATTTGTACCATTGGATAGCATTTTCAAAGAGGTCATGCCCCATCTGAGATGAGCTTTGTATAGTATCACTGTGACTCTAGTTATCCTTTGTGAGAGCAGTTCTGCAGCCACCAACTCAAATATTTATCTGATCACGCATTATGATATATGTAACTTTAAACAAAGTGAAGCCAGACACCGTTCACAAAGGGCAGCTGTCAGATACTGAAAAACAGTCTGGACTAGGGATGGAGCACAAGGGATTTTGTTGAACTTCATATTTCCCACAAACTGAACTGTTGATTGGAGAATGACCCTAGTTTGATTTTACATTGTAGGTAGACTGTAGTTAGCTTTCTTAGATCCAATAGTGTTTAGAGAATATAGTTTATCTTATACTAATACTTTGGTCCTCTGCTAGTGGAAATTGAAAAGCTGTTCATTAAGACTTGGGATGGCTGGTGTGAGAGTTTGCTATACAAAGATAGTCCCCTCTTAAGTTTTCTGTTCTTTACAAGGACTTTAACTTCCTAGGGATTGAATCACTGTTCTTCTCGTCTTTCCAATCGAGGTTAACCCAAGTGAAATGCAGCTTCCCATTGAAAGAAATACCAACAATAGGATGCTTAAGCCTTTTTATGGTGCCAATTAAGTACCCAAATATCTATGAGAAGCATGCCTCACTGTGGTCGTAGCTATAATGCAAGGTATCTTCATTTAATTGAATATCATATATTGTCACCATCTTTGTGAACTCTTAAATTTCATTCCTAAAATATCAATTGTCTCTTAGAAATTGGTTGATGTAAAATAGCCTAAAATTTTTAAGACAATTAATTTCCTTAAGGTGTTTTGAAAGTGGGTGTTTCAAAAGTTACAAAGATTTTTTTCTGCCTTCCCATTATAAAAAGGAGAACTTTCTTTCCTCATTTCCAACCTCACAAAGATATATGTTTCATTTCAGCTGCTTTATTGTTAATATCTCTCATTGGAGGATCTTCCCTCCTATCCCCACTCTACATGGCTCATCAAGCTGACTGGGGATGCACAGCAGAGTCGCAGCAGGAATGCAGTCCTAAACCCCTTCAAGCTGTGATTAAACAAAAACAAGGCTCAATAAATCAAATGCATTTCCCTTGGGTTTCCTTCATCATATTGCTTGATTTTCTGCAGTGATAATAATAATACTGGAATTCCACCAACGGGTAATTTACATTGGCTGTGGCCAATCAGAAATTTCCGAATGTCCTTCCCCCATCTGCCAAAAACAAAACAAAATATAAAACCAGTTGCTTCCCTGCTCCTTTGTTTAAAACATGTAAATAAAATAGTGTTTTATCCTTGATTTGTTTCTGATAGGTGTTTTCTTCCATTAATTTTAATTTAGCTTTATTCTGAAATGAGTCCTGAATTGCATAAATTTGCATAAATACCTCCGACTATATTGCTGCAGAAAGTCCACTGATTTGCAAAATGAGGAAAGAGTCAGCTCTCAATGTCTGGGGGAACTTTTCTCACTTTGTGAGATTGACATTGTTTCCTGAGGTTTCTGGGTACTGAGCAATGATAACATTTCTCCCCATCAGTTTACTTGTGCCTAGCTCTTCTTCATAATGGAAGTGCACCCAGAGACACTCTCACATTGAGGACCATAGGTTCAGAATGAAGTGTTGAAACCGCCTCAGAAAATTAAAAAGAAGTGAAACAAGGGGCAAGGACAAGGGCAAACAACCTTTTTGTTTATGTAACTCAAGCGAAAAATTCCCTTGAGCGTGGGGCTCTCTGGACTCAATCAGCCTATCCCTTTCTGATCACTGCCACTTTGAAACAAAACAAAACAAATTCTGGAATGTGTCTCACTTGTTTGCCTCCCATCTGATTATTTCTCCCAAGTGAACAGCCTTTCCATTCACTAACCCCGTGTGGCAAGTGGGTTTGGGAAATGTTGAGATTATCTTCCAGGTTCAGGCATGGCACCGGGTTTGTTCACAGCTGCTTGCCATTCCATCCCTGTTTTTCCATTGATAAAATGCATTGCACATGGCTGGGTTTGCATGATTAATACAGCTGTCCAAAGCTTTTTCAGAAAACAAAACAACCCCCCCCCCTCCAAAAATTAAAGTTTCGAAAGAAATTAAAATCCAAACCACAAACAAGCGAGGCTTGCAGAAATCTGAAGTCGGCCTGGCATGTCTTCTCCCTAAGGGAGACTGATGTTCCTACCGGCAGGCCTGGCATCAGAACAGCTATATCCTAGCTACAGTCAGAGGAGTGGGTACACCCGCCCTCACCTGGCATTCCCAGTAATAGGTTCTTGAAATCAAATTCCAAAATGATGAAAGGTAAAATGGGAGAAAAATTTTGAACATATCCCATGCTGTGAAGATCACTGAATAATTTCCAGTTTCATTTATTTTCTGTAGAATACCATCCTTAGTATTAAAAAGAAAAAGCTTCTTTTCAGCTCCTTAATACAACAGTATTTTTCTTTGTTTAATAATGGTAATAATAATAATAACAATAGTTAACATACATAATGGCCTTCTACTGTACCATTAGAGTTTTAAGGGCTTTTGCCTATATTAACTCCCAAAACCCTGAGAAAGAGACGTGCAACTTTCTCCTACACTTTTTAATATCAAAGGACACCTAAATTTCAACCTACCCCTTATTGCACCCAGGCACATAAACAAATCTATAGTATATTAATAATCACCCTTATGTATACATTCATGTTCATTAGATATGCATCTTTCCAATGAATTTTAAATGTTCATGTAATTTGTTTTATGTATTACAATGCTTATAACACTCAGTTACTTTGTCTACACAGTTTTACAAAATCTATTTTCAAATATGCTTAGCACAGTGAGCACACACTTATGCCCAACTTACACAGATTTATATGAAAGCATTCATCTTTTAAAAACATGAGCAGGGCTATCTGGCATCGGCACATCTAATTTCACACACTTATTCAGGTTGATTTACATATACACCTCTATTAATCATGGATAATTACTAGCATTGTTCCTGTAATTCAGTGTTTCCAACTGTGAAATGGGAAAGAAATTATACTTTTCATGCCTACAAGCTCAAAGTGGTATTTTAAATAATATACAAAAGAGAGCTTCAAGTTCCTAGAAAGAAGGCATATTGAATTTAAAATAATCATATTCGGATACACATGTGTCTTATAATTTTTAAAAGCACTGATATTGGCAGGTATAGTCATATCATATTGCATGGACATAAGCTAGATATAAGTTCAATGTGCTCTTATTATATTTTGATGTGTTATGGATTCTAAGGATTTCTGAAATCCCCACACTGCTAAAGTTTTAATGTAGAAGCATCCTAAGGCCAAATAAAAAATATTTTTCACTGTTTTCTTACCAACATCATAATATTACATTTAAGAAGAGCTGCAAAATTGCACAGTCCCTTGTTGTGTGGCACACACATAGACACTCACTCACTTTCAGTAGATGCCCTTTTTTTTTTTTTTTGAGACAGAGTCTCGCTCTGTCGCCCAGGCTGGAGTGCAGTGGCCGGATCTCACCT